AGTATTCTTGCATTGAGGGAGTACTTAAGTGGAGGCTCAATGTCCTTCTGCTACCTTAATACTAAACCTATAAATATAGGCACATAGCTCTATTTCCCCATCCTCATATAAATATATTTGCATATGTACATGTCTTTATCTAGACCTCTATAAATGCCCTTTGCCTCCCAGTAGAGGCACAAATTTCACAGTGACTCTTCTCATTTCTAAATCTTGTTAAAATTTGCTGAACCAAGCTCCAAGATAGTCCAGATAACTTCCCTGTCTTGGCAACGGTCTGTTGTTGGTCTTTGAGCACAAATGCACGAATTTTGTTGACATTTTCTTCCATTCGGGACGTTGATGGACATCCAGAAGTTGTCAACAATTGACATTTCACCTTTTTTTGAAATGAGAAAACTACTTATACACTTGAGTTTTTCCCATAGTGCTGTCCTTGTAAGCTGTATTCAACATCACAACAGTTTCTGTGGCATTTTTCCTGAGCAGGAAACAAAATTTCATAGATGCATGCTGTTCTCTTAAATTGGTCATCACAAAAAAGCAGAGTTCGAGTGCAATTGCTTTTACAAGAAAATTCACTGTGACCAGAGAACCTTCCTAGGCAACGCCACTAAGTGCACTAACTCAGAGTGAGTTGCTAGATGCTTGGCTAGTGGGGGGGAAATGCGTACTCCTAAAGCTCACCCAGCAGAGTTTTTTTCTTTTTGTTTGGTTTTTTTGGTAACCCCTCATATATACCCTTAGTAAGATAGATTGACACGGTGGCTGCAACAATGGGCTCAAGCTTAGCAATGATTGTGGGGATGGTTACATTGTTTTGTTCTATCACACATGAGTTCCAACTAACTGGAAGGGACCTAGCCTCGCCATTCCTGCCTTGAGCCTCAATACTTATCACGACCTCTTCCTGGAACACCCTTCCTTCAGATCGTCTCATATCTAGATCCTCAGCAGTTAGAGAGCTCCCCTGGCAAACCCATCTTGAATAATCCTCTTTCTTCTGTCCCAATCACATTACTCCACAGCACCTTCTTAGTGGTATGTACGGCTCTCTGCTATGTACGAGACTGCCTTTTGAGTGCTGTCTTTTAGCCATGTCTTGCGCATAGTAGGCACTCGATATTCATCCAGTGAATGAGATGCTAAGGAGGGAGGCGGTCTGTTGGGAAAACTATTCTAACTAATTCTAGGAGTCACTCCCTGGGTGGTCAACTCCTGGTCAGGTGCTGGTGGTTGGAACGCACCTCTGAAGGCAGACCAGGTGATCTTTGGAAAGGTCGCAGCCTTGTAAACCCCGTGGAGCAGAGCTCTGGTCTGACACAATCAGAGCTGTCATGAGTCAAAACTGACTCAATGGAGGTAACAACATACCCAGTTCTGGGTTGACAGTCTCTAGGCAGCGGCAGTGGGTGGGTCCCAGCCAGGCATGCTCCACTCCGTCCATTTTTTCTAAGCACCACTGCTATATCCATCTGACTCTGGCTGGGATCTGGAACGAAGGAGGGATGAGAACTTGACCCTGCCCCGCCCTCCAGGAGTTCAGGTTTGGTGGGCTCCATCCCAGCCGCTGCGCTTCTCAGCAGCGGCCCGCAGTGCCACATGGAGATCGCTTTCCGCAGCCTGTCTCCAGTCAGAACCAGTCCCCCGCCACGGCCACCGCCACCACCCATCTCCGGGGCCCAAGGGACTCGCGCATTCCACTCCTCGCCGGCTACAGAGAAAGCTCCTGAGCCCAGAGCCAGTGGCTTGGGGGGCCCAGCAGCGCAGCCATGCTGGTCAGGTCTCTGCGTCCAACGCTGCGGACCAGCGCTCCGCCGCCACGCGTCCCGCAGGCCTG